TAAGGGGAACAATTTAGGCAATTTCTAATCTTGTCGTCGCCGCCCGTAATCTATGTGTTAGTCGTAAATGATTATTAGTGTGAAATTCAAAGAAATTCGAACTCGATAACAATAGATTTTATATCGCCCGGCTGCGGGCACACGGTTCAATAGCACACGTACGCGCATGCACAAGTCAACGTAATCACTCTCGAAAAATATTTTTGTACACTCACAACAGTGAAAAATGCTAATAAGCTGGAGAAAAATACACATACTTCTAGTAGTCCAATTTCAATTTTGAAAAATTATTTGAATTCGTCAGCCTCTTTTCTATGATTTGTAGGAAACCGATTTTGGATATTTTAGATAATTTACGTATATTACGGTTCCAAATGACTGCTTGATTTCTCAAATTTAACTTGCACTTTTAAGTGCTAACTAGACAAAAAGATGAAAAAGTTTTTCCTACAGATCATAGAAAAGAGGCTAACGAATCCAAATAAGTATTCAAAATTAAAATTTGACAACTAGAAGTATGTGTATTTTTCGCCAGCTTATTGGTCTAAATGCATGAAAAATCCAATCGTTTAGAGCCGCCTTAATAATATCATTAATATATCTGGTTATAGTGCTCATACTAAAACAAAATGCAACTTAATATACACCCGTCGTAATCTCGTGGCGTCAAATAATAATTGTCCTTCGTTAAACCAACCACGTCCATTTGACGTTTTTCTTTTAAGTTGATATTTTACTATTGTATATTAACAATATAAAAGTGCACGTCACGTGTAGTACTTACCAAACTTTGGGACAAACTGGTACATTGTCTGTAACTGCAGCAGGGCCGGACTGGGCCACTGTGCTAATATTCAACGGCGCAATAGACCGCGAGTCACGACTCGCGGCTGTGTCAAAAATAAATTATGATCAAATAATGATATTATTATTTTGTATTATTATTATTATTATTATGCCAATAAATATGAAACAATACAAAACATTATATACTCAACACTCAGAAGTGTTAAGCCGACATCACAAATACACTGTCCAGAATCCCAAAATTATATTTTATATAATTTTATAAATATAATTTTACAATAATATTTTGGCCAACAAGGCTAATTCGAGACAAACATCTTCTACGTTTATTTCAACGTTTCGGTGAACAGTGACTTATGCATAATTAGTTATTACTTATTATATTATGATAATTGGTCTACAATTTTTAAGAATTAGAGATAAAGTAGAGTTTATCGATTTGCCAATATGAACGTCTCGGTTATTTTATTATAATTACCGAACTCAACTGTTTAGTGTTTACTGCACAAATGTAATATAGCTATCTGAAAACATACAATTAGTAGTTTGGTGTAATAAATATTTTTGATAAAGATCATGTTTTACATCGTTTTATATTTGTATATAATTTATAGAACCATATTAATTTAAACTTCTCTAAATTAACACACTTATACACACCCATACATCAATATATTATCATATGCAAATATTGTTATCAAACCATTTTTTTAACGGATCACTATAATATTATACATTTTGCTTTATTTAATCGTATTTATGGGAAAAGGTCATAAATAATTGTCATAATTTGGGTACATATTACAGATATCTGTACATGCATTATTTGAATAATTATCTCTCATTATTAAACTTTTATTGATGCTTAACGACAAAACATGGCTATACCGTCTACCAAAATCTGTAATTATTTTATTAAACGTTTCTAATTTCGAAATCTAATACTAAACTAGAGTTAAATTTTATCATAATAGGTTAATCAATATATTATAATTAAAATGGTAGTAAATAAACCTATGACCCTAAATATTAGAAACGAGAAATACTAATTTGATAACTTTATGTACCTATCAACTAGAGATTACCATTTTATTTTTTAGACTCTGAGCACTGAGTGATGAATATAATATTTATTTTAAGACATTGTGTTTTTTTTCTTTGTACTGAATATACTTTTTGTAGTAGAAAAAATGTTTCAATATATTTTCTAATATAAATGTGAATCTAGTTGATACTTTGAAGGGGGAGGTCAAAAGTAAAAATACCCAGTAATTTTCTCAAAATTGGGGAAAACAAAGTAAAATAGAAAAAATCAGTTATTGATGTTTTGTTGCAACTTAAAAAAGAATAACTACAGATACTTGAATATTGTTCACCATATTTTTCTTTATACACGGTGAATTTTTCTATATGTTTGACTCTTTTTAAGCTATTTTTAAACATTTTAAATATAAAAGGATAAAAAGGTTGTATCTGACGTTACTTAATTTTTTTTTTTTAATTCTAAATGCTATTGGTCGGTCTTCAGATGATTTTTTTAATTCTATTCAATATCTTTAGTTTGTATTTCTTATCAACAACCATGCTTAGTTGTATGTAGTGATTGTAGTCTAAGTTATACAATACTTTCGCTGCATCTGGGAATCAATAAAGATTTGGTTTTGGTTTTGTCAACACTTTAAACACCACGAATAAAGTGCTAATAAAGTTCCAAATGAGTAATTTAAAATTGACTAATCCAAAAAGAAGAATTATCTTAAATAAACAGGATAACCTTTTTTTTAATAATATTTTATATTTTGTATTATTAGGGTTACACAAAAAGAACCAAAAACATTTATTTAAAACGTATAAAATACTCAGCTACAAGCCTACCATTTGTGTTTTATTCATCGTTCCATGGATATAATATTGTATGACATATTATAAACGTCTGGCCAACTTGTTACATAGACCATTTTTAAGATAAAATTACTATTAAAGAATTGTAGAACAACATTTTAATGTAATTAAATATTTTATCATAACCTATAATTAGACGATTTTGAATTTATAAATACCTAACTAATATGAGTAGTGCGTTTCTATGAATATACAATTAATAAATCACGTAATGTTTAAACAAATAGAAATCCATGTATATATATTTTAGATATGGATAAAACAACTATTTTAATACCTATTCAAAAATAATTTACAGTGTTATACATTTTATTAGGCTACCTGTATAATAAATAAAATTATACATAAAATACTAATTAGAATACAAAATTGCAGCAATAGAACAATTTAAAATAGGATAAAATATATAAAAAAATAATAGTAAATATACTCAGTACCTACTCTACCTAGTATTAAATATTCGGGCCAGCCAAATGACATACAAAACCAATCTAAAAAAATTAATTAAGTCAACGAAAGACAATAATATGGTAGATATATATGACAAAGAACCTGCTATTAATTCACCTGACTTACTTAAATTTATATCCACTCATTCCAAGATTTTAAAGCAGTAACAAAAAACTCATATTCAATCAATGGAAATCAATAGTGGTCAATCTTATAATTACACTGAACTTAACGAAATTAAAACCTTAATACACCCATGACCAAGTGAAACTTATCAAGATGTCTGAATAGATAATCCGACTTCGATTCAGACACACGGACAACTAATGAAAAATAAGGAACCAGATCAGCGTTAAACTTGTGAGAAAGTCCTCTCCATTCAAAATATTTTAATTCATTTCCAAGAATATTATAATATGACATCCAAAAAATTCCAGACAGTTTGTAAATCTGTAAGCAAGGTCTGGGAAAGGACAAACAAAATATATCAAACATCTTTAGTTAATTTCTTAAAACTTTCAAAATTGCACAACTTTATCTAATCTATAACGTTCTAATCTTTATATTATACTTAAATACTTTCATAATATGTTTTCTTTCTTTTTAATATGTATACTTAGCTATAGGTTAGGCTATAGCTATCTTTGGAGTTGTGGGCTTAAATGTAATATGCATATTACAAAATATATACAGGCATACAGCGTGTCCACGAAAATTGGGTAAAACCCTAAAAAAAATGTATATGTTATGCTTACATTGACATACAAAACAAAATAAAACATAGCATGAATATCAACAAGGAAAACAACTGAATTTACACGGTTTAAATGGGTGATGAACTCTGCTTCGATTTATTGTATTACATACCTAACTGAACTGTCACGGCTATTTTATTCTTTTTTTTACTTAGCTCACACCACGACCGTGCACTGGATTATGATATAGGTACCGTACCTTTATACTTATACCACTGTTGATCACAGATATTAAATACTCGTAGGTATTTATAATTTACGTTTTATAATAAATGCCAAATGGTACCACGACTACCACGGACTAACCATCGGTACCCGGTAGGTACTCAGAATAATAATTTATGATTTTCAATGTATGTACCTAATTCGTCGTACGCTATTCGGATCGTATGTCGACTCCGACACGTGAATTTTTAATCATATAATACGCGTGTTTACGAATGTATACTTAGTACTTACACAACGCCCGGGGGGGTGTCGGTGACGCGAAGTGTTTTATTATGTTTTAATCAAACTCAGTATACATATTACATATTAATTATTATCATCATAACAGAGGCCTGCGACCGTGTGCGACGACTGCGCCAGGCGAATGATTTACGACGGTCGGAGCGTAGGCGACAAGCTGTGTTGTTGCTTCGATACAATTTTCTCGTTAATAAACCTCGAGCTGACGTCGTTCAAGTGCAATAATTATAATATTATTGTTATGTGCGTGTGATCAGAGGCGCCCGAGAGTAGTACTATAGCGCAAATCTGGCGGATTTTTTTTTATTACACTTCACCGAGCAAACAGTAGGTGCGATAAGACGACTCGAGCCTGGTACGCATTACTATAAAAGCGTGTGGCGGCGGTGATGAGGCACATGCGTACCCATATCTAGTGCACCGCTCAGTGTCAGTCCGGTCACGTGTGTCGCCGTCGTGGTGTCCGTCCGTTCAACCGAAAAATCGCGAAATCGACAATAACGTTCTACACACTATCCACATCCCCTACACGTCACGTTTCGTCGTACGGAAATACAAAGGATCGCTTAAACCGTACTATTATTATTAGTTATTACTGTTTTTTTCCCCGAGGCCACAATGGCCGTATCGTCGTGGTCTATCATAGCGTACATCTGTCTGACGTCGGTGGCGATCTGTTACTCGACCGCGGCGTTGTCGTCACCGCCGCGACCGCCGCCACCACCGAGAGTGCGCGTCGAGTCCGGCGAACTTTCCGGTGGCGTGGAACACACGGCCATCGCCGGCCGACCACTATACGCTTTCCTGGGCATACCTTACGCAAGTCCGCCCGTCTACAAGAACCGTTTCAAGGTAGGTGTGTCACCCAGAATTTTTTTTTGGAGGGGGGAGGGCAAATAAAATTATTTTTAAATACCTATAATAACAACATTTATTTTTTTAAACATGATGCTGCAATGTTGTGCACGATCTTAGATGCTCACGATGCTAGATCATATTTTAAAGTCGGTATACCTACCTAATAAAATTATCAGTACAATAATAAATTACTAAACTGTTATAGGGGCCAATCTTAAGGGGAGATATAAGCCCATTAACCCCCTCCCTTGGGCGCACCCTCGGAGTGTGTAATGACTGGCCGGGACTCATTATGATGATGTTAAGCTATGATTATATGTATCATGTACGTAATATTATGTATAAGCTGTATAATATGTATAAAACCTATAAAGGTAGATCTTGATAGCAGTGATGGGCTGAAGGACTCAATTTTGACGTAGCTGCATCAACTTTTAAAATGGGGTGGTGCCACCCCTTGGCTGTGGCGCCGAATAATATGCTAAAGCCTAACCTCGTGGCTCTTTCGACCACATTTTATTTACCTACATCATAACTTTTTGCCTATGTATTTTTAATATTTTTAAAATTATAGAAGGTTAGAAGAACAACACTGTCATAGGTATATTATATTGACAGACTTTACAAATAGTTCATTAGAATAACAATAAGTAGCTAATTTAAATTTGTATGTAAGAATATTTTTAGTGTTAATGCAGCGTTGAGCAATAAGCTGAGACAATAATTTGTAATTTTTTCATTAGTAAATTATAATACAAATTTCTATAGCATGTGTAGGTCAACTAATAATGCTTAGTTGATTATACATTTTACAGGTGGTTTAACCTTAAAATTGTGGAATAACAAGAATAAAATAAGGGCTTGTTTATTTACCCTTATCACTCCCATATCCTCCGCTGGAATATCAAACACCCATTTATTTTTCGTGATTTTTACCGTTGCTAGGTAGTTGATATAAGTACCTACATTTATTGTATAAATATAAGAAATCATCATAGTATGAAGGTATATTGATAAATAATAATTAATAATTAATATTTTCTAATTTTTTAGGAACCACAACCAGTAAAACCATGGGTGGGTGTATGGAACGCGACCATTGCCGGGAGTGATTGCATAGGTCTAAACCACGCAAATTTCAGGGTAGTTGGAAGTGAAGATTGTCTATACCTCAATGTGTATACTCCAAAAGTCAGTAATATTATAATACTTTAATAACAATTTTAATAAATTATGAATTGTCTTATTTTATACCAAAGAATATACCTAGTACCTACCTACCTAATATTATATTGATTACTAATAAATAAAGGCTATAGGATATATTTAGATTATTATTGTCGTATCTTTAATTCTTTTGGCGGACCTTTTCCGTTAATTCACTACCACTAATTTTAGTAGCAGTGATAACGCGTGTATCGGCACTCGTCGCTCCGCTCCGCAAATCGAAAATATCCCCCGACTTGTTATGCAACTTCACCTCAAGTTGGTCATAGGGTAACCATCGTATATCCACTCTTAATACCTATTATATACGTGTTATACGTATACCACTATTTAAATTGAATAGTCGTTGTAAAATGAAGGTAGTTATTAAGAGTGGATATACGGTGGTTAAAATGTGACCAACTTGTGGTGGTGTTGCATAGCAAGTCGGGGGATATTTTCGATTTGCGGAGCGGAGCGACGGCGCCGAGGAGCGCAGTGACGAGTGCCGATACACGCGTTATCACTGCAACTTTGAACATCCATAACTTTACTAATACCATTGAGAGTTCTTGGAGCAAAATAAAATCTTGAAATAAAAAACAGTGGGGTAGCTACTTTGAAAAACCGAAAAAAGTGGTGGTAGTGAATAAACGGACCAATGCTGAATAGCTACTAAAATTATTGGTAGTGAATTAACGGAAAAGGTCCCTTTTGGCTATTAGCCATTAGGTATAATATACAATATACTACCAACGTTGCCATTTGTATAATATTAATTTTGGACCTTTACTTAATCCATTAGCTTAATATTATAATATTATACTTAATGAGTAATAACTAATAACCAATGATCAATATAATACAAATACAATACTAGTGAACCATTACAATTTACAGTCTACGTTTCCTATGATCATTATGTACTATCTATGTAAATGATAAATCGTTTGCACAAATCACTGTGTGACAAACGGTCAAAACGGAATAGTGTAAAATTAGCCAAGATGTCCCATAAAAAAAGAGATTGAATTAGGAACTATTATTGCAAACGAACGAACAATCGACATCAATACTTAGTAATGCGGTAAATGCATATTTTATTCAATAAATTAAGTAGCGGTTCCAGTGACTACGGACCAATAATTTGAAAAAATGTTCGGTTTTACAACACAAAATAAAGATCGTGGACTGAAAATAATAGTCACTATCATTATAAAAAATTGTTAAAGGATAGATATATTTCTATTTCTTTTACTATTCCATACTCTTAAAAACGTATTATAACTTATATGGCTTTCAGTATAATATCTATTATATTATTAAGTATAGATATAATATAGGCAATATAGCTGATACCTACCTATATACCTATACAATATACTATTGATACCAAAAACGGGATTAATCATTCGATATATACCTGTAATATTATTATTAGTGTAATAGTGTCGATAAAAAATCTATTTGTATCGTGTATGTGGTGTGTCTTACGCAGCTACCCCAAGAAGGGCTGATATCCGGCGGCCTGATGAACGTGATCGTGTACATCCACGGCGGCGCGTTCCAGTTCGGAGCGGGCATCGGTTACGGGCCGCACTACCTTTTGGACAGCGAAGATTTCGTGTACGTGTCGATCAATTACCGGCTGGGGCCTTTGGGATTCGCAAGCACCGGTGACGACGTATTGCCAGGAAACAACGGCCTCAAGGATCAGGTGGCGGCCCTCAAGTGGGTCCAGCGCAACATCGCCGCGTTCGGCGGCAACCCTGGTTCGGTGACTATCGCCGGAATGTCGGCAGGAGGGGCTAGTGTCCATTACCACTCCCTGTCACCCATGTCAGTGGGTAAGTCGTCTGAAATGTTTTGCAAGCTATATTAATTTACAAATTTAAGTGTCGTGTTTTTGGAGAGAAAAAGTATTTTAATATTGCTTGAAGAATTTACTGTTAGACGCGTTTAAAGTAGGCAGGTATAGGCCAACAGAGTAAAATGGTAAAGATTACACCTAGACGTATTACACCGCAAAACGTTTGGCTCGTTTATAAATTCTGAAATTTAAATCTTAAATTGCTTGTTAATGAAAAATTATTTGATAAAATCTCCAATACAATACCGATATATTTGCAGATATTACGATACAGTATAACTATATTTTTTCTATAATTTTTCGATTAGTTTAGTTTGTTATCAGATGTCTGTTCGAGAGTGAATAATATATTGTAAATTAGTAACATAATCTGATAATCATACAAGTATTATACAATTATAACACTTAGTATATTATTATATGCATGTTGTTTACACGTTCAGATCAAAGGGCAAAGATCCAGAAATCCAGGATCCTAAGAATAATTCCGTTAGATAACACTCACAGTTTCACTTTTCTTAATTAAATATTAATCTATGCCTTAAATAAAAAATGTATACTATATTTTTGTATTTATATTTTGTATAAGCTCTTCTGACATCAGAGTTTAACATTAATCTTTGCTATAAGTTCTATAAATACACTTGATGAACATTAAAAACGCAAAACTTACACATACAAAATATATAGGTACTACTTATCAAGTTTTTTAAATACATAATAATATCTTGTTATAAATTATAATTACATTTTAGTCGGATTAGGTAGTAATTATGATAAAAGTGTAGACTTCAGGATTATGATAACACGTGGAGTTAGAAGAAAATTAAGATGATAAACAAATAGACATAATAAGATGCGATGACGGATGTTTAAATAACTAGGTATATATATGTATGTCATTTTTATAATTTAGTTTTTGTTTTTGATACTTTTATAAGGTATTTTGATTTTAATTTATAATCTAACTACCAAGCGTCAAATAATGACTAAGTAAAGAAAATACTAAATAGCCAAGTATTTTAGAATGACACGAATTTCGAAATAACCAAACTGCTACCTGTTGGTTTTCATAAACAGGCAGTAGGGTTTCACTCAGTGGTACCTACCGGCTACCATTGATATTCTAATATCCATTAGTTTTCGAAATCAATTTCCTCTTTTCAACTCGCTATATTTCTGACTTCCCTAGTCTAGACTCGCTTAGTTGAGTATTCCCTTTAAAGAAACTGTTACATTACTTTTATTTTACGTTTTGATATTTGAACTTCGAAGTTCGTCTATAACATATCAAAGTTATATCTGTTCCATTTTTATTCTTAACCAATCAGCAAGACCGACCATCTAATATGGGGTGAAGCTATGTCGGATAGTAGGTAGGTATGTAAAATTTTTAGATTTCTGAATTTTTTAGACATTCAGTGATTATTCTGCACGTTTTTTTAGATGTGCGTCAAGTATTTTTGCATGAGATGACACCATAATATTATAATGTATTCACGATTTTCTCCGTAGAAAAATATAGCAATAATTGTTTTAACGTCGTTTGGTTCATTTAAAATAATAATACAATTAGGTACCTACCTTCTTTTGATTCTTAGCGAATGGGGAAAGCATTCAGTCAATAGGTATCTGAAAGTCTTCTGTAGGCCTGTTCACACTTATATAATATTAAAATTTAAAATCGATCGTTAATTAAAATAATTCATTAATAAAATTATGTGATACGTACAGGTTTATTTAATCGAGGAATTGCTGAAAGTGGAAGTGCTTTTTGTGGCTGGGCTTACACAGAAAACACTATTCAAAAGACTAAGGAATTAGCTGAGTCACTGGGATGTCCTACATACTACTCGAAGGACACCGTCAAATGTCTTAGATCAAGACCAGCATTAGCCATTGCAAACTCTTTGAAAAATTTCTTAGTAAGAATATTTTTATCTAAAAATACTCGTGCAGTCTCGTAAATAGTATAAGTACTATAAATATTAATATACAGTTATATATGTATTAATCATTTTTCAATACTCGTTAGCCGTGGAAGTACAATCCTTTTTCACCATTTGGTCCTACTATCGAAACAGGCGGAACAGAACGGTTTTTAACGGACTTGCCAGAGAACTTACCGGCTCAAAATGTCCCACTGTTGTTCAGCTTTACTGAAGACGATGGCCTCTATCCAGCAGCTGAATTTGTATCACTTGAAGAAACTCTGGTTGACATGGAATCCAACTGGAACGAAATACTACCATTCATACTTGACTACAATTACACAATTTCAGATGAATCATTGAGACCGGAAATCGCACAGAAAATAAAAACATTTTACTTTGGAAACAACACAGTGTCTGTAAACACTAAAAATGAAGTCGTCGAAGTAAGATAATTAGACTTTTAAGTTCATATTATATACAATATACATCAGTGGCGTATATACAGGGGAGGGAGAGTGGAATTGTGTACACAATACAACAGGTATACCTACAATAATATCAATATGAATATAATATGTGTATACACAGACTTCTATACTACACTATATAGAAATCTGTGTGTGTATACTGTATGTCTATTAAAAATTGTAGATATATCCCCCCTTGAAAAAGCCCTATATACGCTACTGATATACATAGCCACAAATATGTACATCGTGCAAGATATATCAAATACAAAATACCTTATTATGTAGGTATCTACCTAGTACCTATAGCAATTTTACCAATTTAAATATTTCAGAATAATACATATTATTAATTCTTAATTATTATTGAATAACACATATACTAAAATGTGTTAGAGTTAGAACTAAAAACATATTATATTAGGTATACAGCGTCATAGACATGTTCGTCGAATCCAAGTAACTCAACTAAAAAAGTAAATTGTAAAAATGAAGGTAAGGCTAAAAATTTAATTCCTAAAATTACCAAATCCAAAGTTCAAAATTATATATAAAGGATGGTATAACTACTAAAATAAAAATATAAATTATAAGCGTATGCACTATACAGAATACATTCGCATAAGGGGACTTATTTATTTTACCCATTCCATAATTGCATAGAAAGATATATTAAAATAAATATAATAATTATATTATTTAGGTATTTATTTAAATAAGGTTTTTGAATAAATAGAGCTGGTACTCTAACCTCTCCTAATAAGTTTATCGATCTAATCTTGCCTATGATACATTTGTGGCTCAAAATAAATTTACTTACAAATTAATATTAAAACAAGATTTATGTAAAAAAATCTATAATAGTTTATAAATAATTCATCGAGTTATCCATTTCAGATGCTTACAGACAGGTTGTTCAAAGAACCGGTAGCTAGAGCAGCCCGGCATTTGGCTTCAATAAATACATCGCCGGTATACTTTTATGAATTTGGTTATAGGGGTAAATACTCCCTTTCAGACAAATATTCTAAAAGTGGATCCTCTCAAGGAATGGGTAAATAGGACCTAGTTAAGATAAAATCTGCTATTTTTTTCTGCTCCTATTTTACTTATGTATTATAATTATTTATTCGATATAGGAGTATCACACGGTGACGACACAATGTACGTTATAAAAACCCAATATGGAGATCCACACGACAACGTCGAAGACTCCAAGTTAATTCCAGTCATGGTGAACATGTGGTCGTCATTTGCCAAAACAGGGTACGTTTATTATTTATATTATAGGTAGTTATTTTATTGTGTAGCACAACATTCTTATAGACGTTTTTTACGTTTTTCTTTTCTTTTTAACTGGAAAATAACTAATAAATCACCATTTAACTAGCAATTTGAAACAGATTCAACAATATTGTATTACCTGTAATGGATAATTCTGAAACCTTGACGAAAAGCATGCTTCCAGGGATAAACAATTATTCAATTTCACATTTCCACATTTCCGCATTTAGGCTGGTTTAGAAGTAATTTTAAAAATACCAATTGTCGACATTACAAATATGTTTAGGTAAAAAACTGGCCAACACGGACAAAATTAAACAACCGTATAATGTCGAGTTTAACTAAAAATTTAAATAGACGTTGATGATTACACATTTACACTTATACAAAATATTGATCTATAATAAATAATAATATTATGTATAGTAATATAATATATTGTATAATAATGTACTAAATACACATTTGTACATAATATACATACACGTCTTACGTCTACACATAATGTTTCAGAGTTCCGGACGTAGGAAACTCTGTAGTATGGTCACCAGTGTCAACAAACCCTTCAGATCCACTAAAATTGATTAAGATCACACAGAATCAAACATTCGAACAGCAAGAATACTCAAATCCCGGCAACTATAATTTCTGGAGCACGTTGCCGCTAACTGAGTTTCCCGCACCAATTAATCCGTCAGAAACTATAAACCACAACGAATTATAAGAAAATCGGAAAAAAAAATTGTCTTAAAGTACCTGTTACAATTAGATAATTTTGCTGATTTTATGTTTTAAAATTAGATAACTACCTACAAGGTAGAAAAATAAGTCAAAATGAAAATAAAAATATGTTATTTGTGTTATTTATATTTAATTAAATGTGAAGGTACTCAAAACAATTTGTACTCCTTTTTATACCTTTTTGGAACTGCAGTTGACGACGACGCCGCTCTGCGTCAACAGCTTTTGCATTACTTCCGTGACTACCCCATCGTTTATTATGTAGGTAGTAACCTAACCAGTGGTGTGACATTATTACATTACAAATTGTTTGAAACTCCCCAAATGTCGGCCACTGTAAATACTAATCAGCAATTTTCATAAATCACAAAATGTAATATATATTATGAGATCATTGAAACTTCCATAATCCATATTATTAATAAGTTAAACTAATACACATTAAGTATTAACAAATAGTTTACTCGTAATAAATATCTTACATTATTTTTGACAGTCGGATAATCAAAGATTAGGTAGGTACCCAGAGGCCAGAAGAGGTCATATTATTCTGTTTGTGTAATAAAATTGTTTTCCCTAATATTAATGTCTAATAATAAAAATGGTAAATACTTACTGATGTCGCATGTATTAGAAATCTTTACCAAAGTTTTAAATCCAACTTTTTTTTAATCATGTTTTTAAATTTACTGTACATTTATACATTTATTAAAAACGTATGCATTTATGTTCTTAAAATATAAAAATATGCATTTAAAATAAAAACCATAAAAAATAGTAAATAAAAATAGGGGCCAAAGTTGCTCTGTCCGGACGCGCCTTTATAATATTTAGTATACAGTCGGCAGATTTATCCTTGAAAGTCGGCAATATTCACTCCAAGCCCCCCTAAAAATAAACTCTAGGGTCGCCCCTGCTTTGAAGTTGTGACTTATGGTAAAGATAGGAAGGTAGTCAGAATATTAGATACTTATCACTAATAGAACAAGTAATTTTTAAAATATTCTACCTTCAACTTCAATATAATATACATATTTATAAATATTTCAGCACTACAGAATCACATCATTCACACCACATTGGAGTCACAACATTTGAATAATACAATAATGTATTTATGTATATTATAATTAATAGAAATTAAACAGTATAACAAACGATTTTAGATACTTACTATAATTTGCTTGGACACCTTAACATCAAACTACTTTATTCAGTTTAAATACTATAACACCAAGAAGCTCGTCTTTCATTAAATTCTGATTTATTGTTTTTTTTTTTTTTCATATGTATAAAGAATAATATAATATTTGTATATAAATAAACTTAAAAAAAGCAAACAAAATGTATTTAATATGAAAAGATTTTTTTTGCATATATATATATATATATATAAAAGTAAATAATGAATAAACAAAACATTAAAGGTATGTGAGCATTAGTTTTTCTCCTTAGTACATCAAGTCTAGCAGTCTTTCCCACAGTAGTTTTAATTTTACAAGACATACACTAATTAAAAATGTTGTGGTTTCCATTATTATTAAACTTTAAATAGTCAAAACATCTCAAAAAATATTTAGTTCAATAGTTTTTATTAATAAGTAGTTTAACTTGGATAATTTCATTGTTGTTCTGGAATTACATATTTTACACAAATACTTGACTTGATTACGTAAAAGAGAAAACATCCACTTCACGTGTACCTCAAAAAATAATTAAATCTTCTCAACCATTAATGGTTATAATATAAAACAATATGAAAGATGCAGTACTATAATGAGCGACAAATGTCACGACAACCGACATGAGGCCATTTTTTTAACATTACACATGATTGGCTTGTGCCAAGGTCGTTTAGATGGATCATTGACATCATCGATGGGAACTGATGTACTCCCATTCGGTCGATCTGGATTATGATTAATAAAACTCGGTAAAATATAATTTGTTTAGTTATATTTAAGATTATTACCTTTAATTAATTGTTCTGTTATATATTCTTCTTCGTTGTCTGAAGGCGTTTCACATGAATGATAGTTAAATAGGTATGGCAATACAGTCATGTTATGCATGAAATCACCACGCAAAGGAGGAAAAGGTACTTTTTCAGATGTTCTTGGATGTCTACAAACAAACCACCTAAACAGTAAAAACAAATAAGAATAAATATGGAAATACATATTTATTTTAAACAAAATGATAATGAAGCAAGAAAAAAGGTGTTATTTTATAAATTAGGTATAACTCTGAAGTTGTGTACAATTGTAATATAGTAATTATAAATTATAATATTCCGATTGTCATGTTAAATAAAATAAAATATTCAAGGCAACAATAATTATTTAAGTCCATGGCATACATAAAAAGGTGGGTAATAAGTAGATGTCGCTCTGCTGTATTCAATTTGAATTCAATGATATATTATCATTGTATACGAAGATTCTGAGCGGTGACGGTTTGTCAGTGTGGATATTTTGAATTATATTTATATTATTATTACTTATTATTAATACGGTAGCCGGTAAGTTGATTAATATTATAAAATTACAACAAAATAACTAAAATTGTTATTCCTGGTTAATATTAATATGTAATTTTCTTCAAATTTGAACATAGAATAACTATAAAAAAAACTGATTTTATATTTTTGAGATTTTTTAGTTACAGAATAACCTACTTACATAGAACCTTGTTATAAGTTTTCAATCCTTAGCTATAAAAGTTGAACATTTTGTCAATTTTTAACTACAAAATCATTTTTAAATTTTTAATTTGATAAATGTTGTCAAAAATTAAACATTAAATGCTTATGAAAAAAAATTGTGCCAATGTATTTTTAATATATTTCAACTACTATTTAAGCAATATATCAGGAGCCTAGTATTAAATGTTAACATTTTTTGGCCCAACAAATAATATTTTATTGATATTTATATTTATTGAAAAAATACTAAAAACATTGAAATTTGAAATTATCTGTAAGCAGCTCAAAACATTAAGTATAGGAATTGATAAAATAAACATGATATAAATCTCAAGTGCCTACGGTTGTTCGTTATTAAATTACAACAAAATAAGAAAATCGCTACATGAGAAATCAAATGAATATCCAATGTTGTAAAAATATTAGATTCTAACGCTCTTAAAAAAATTTAAAAAGAAAACACACACACACATCATTGTAAAATCAATACATTCATTGCTCCGCTCAGAATCTAAGTATACAAATTCGAACTTACAATACTCATCTTAAAAAAATTATATTTGAATGTTAACATAACAAAAAAAACCACCCACTATACAACATAATTTATTTTTTAATTGTTAAGAAATATATATTTATTTAAATAATTTTTATCCATACAAATGTTAAGAGGATGTCAGCGCACTATTTGTTTTCTCTCTCTGGCCCACGCGCAGCATAGACAAAACGCATGAACGCAGAATTATTTTTTCTATGTTTTAAGTAATCTTAGAGTAAAATCACCTATTACAAAAAAGATAGAGAATAATATTTTTGAGGGAATGTCATATCGATTTTATATTTTATTGTTATTTGACTTTCAAAATAAACAAAAAAAGTTGTACATTAAAATGATGTTTAAATTGTTTTGAGACAATATTTAGACAAATCGATATGACATTCCCTCAAATATTTTATTCTCTATCTTTTTGTAATGGGTGATTTTACTCTAAGATTACTTAAAAACATAGAAAAAATGTTTCTGCGTAAATGTGTTTTGTCTATGTTGCGCGTGGGTCAAAGAGAGAAAACAAATAGTGCGCTGACATCCTCTTAACAAAGATATATTTAGTCAAATCTGAAGAATTTGATTATTTAGTTTTGAATTAAAGAAACTCATTATTTATTTGTTTATTTTAGAAATCTCCATTGTTTATTTAAAACTGTTAACTTACGGATGCGTTTGTATCGTTCTTAAGGTAAATCGCTTCTTTGGGTCTTTTTTAAGCATTCCAACTAGCAAAGATCTCAAAGGTTCTGTCACAAAGCTTGGAATTTGTATATTACATTTCCCAATTGCTTCAAATAATCTATACACATTATCACCTTCAAATGGATACTCTCCAGTAACTAAGTTATACCTTAAAAAATTATGATTTTGTTATTATATGAACATTTTTATAACTCATTGGTATTCATACAATGTAACCCCACTGCTCCAAATATCTATTTTAAAGCCAGAGTACTCATCAGCCCCATTTGCTATTTCAGGCGGTTGAAATGCTGGTGAGCCTTGACTAGATGCACAGATACCTTCTGGATCAAAGGGTGACAGTGCCTAAAAATTATGATTGACAATATTTTAATATAGATGAATGTTATAAAATTATATTTTCAACATACCTCGGCAGTTCCAAAGTCTGATATCTTAAGTGTTTCATCAAGTGTGAGCAATAAATTCCCTGGTTTGATATCTTTATGAATTATTCCACGGCTGTGTAAATACTCTAGTCCATTTATTAACTGACTAAAGTAACTAATACCACAGAATATTAAACAACATAAATTAATGTTCATAACACTACTTTTAACTAACTAATAATTAAAATACGTACTTATGGGCTTGCCAACATGGAAATTTACTTCCTGGAGAATGTTCTAGCATATCTTGAAGACCACCTACACAATACTCCAAAAGAAGATACATCTTTTCTTTTTCTTCATTCACTATCACATCTACTAACTCTATGACATTTAAATGTCTCAATGTTTTTAAAAGTTGAATTTCACTATAAAAAAAAATTATAATACAACTTATAAGTTTAATACATTTGAATACTTCATCATATAAACATAGGTATTCAAAATCTATTGAATAAAATCTGTGGCTTAGTGCAAAAAGAGCCAATGTCACATTTTGCAGAAATTGAGATTATTTGACCAATGTCATTAAAATTTGTTTATGTACTTATGATAAAAGAGCCAAAGTCTCTTATGGTGTATGACCAAATTAGTTTTGA